GATATTGTTTTACCCTGTTAAACTTCAATTTTTACTGTTCCTGTTATTATAATTGTTAAACTTTGAGTCTTTATTGGGATGCAATAAATTTCGATAAAACCGGCAATTATTCTTTTTTTTTCTAATCTAGAAAAAAAAATTTAAACATAGAGTTCTCCAAAAAACAATCATCATCATCACGATTTGAATACTGTAGGAGAGGACGATTCAGAAGATGACATAGGTGGATAGTGTCCTTCAGGCTTCTTTTTCTCTGAATTATTATAATTCAAAATAAGTGGGCGAGGGGGCGGGGCAATTTAAAGAATAAACAACGTAATGCAATCAATAGAGAAAATGCTTTTAAAAATGAAAAAACAGGGAAGAGAAAAATGCGAGCGCCCTTCTCTGGCACTCTTCTTCTTAGCTGTTTCATTGGTCAGAACCCCTCTTTCTTTGGGGCTGACAACCATTCTCAGTCTGTCCTAGTCTCCCACAGCCTTCTTTACTTTTCCCCCACTATTCTCGTACATCTTTAGTACCTGAATAAATCTGTATTCTATAACTACTATTCGTATTTCTTGAGTCGGCCAGAATGCCGGATCTTAAGGACGTAACACTTTTAATAAAAGCTAACTTTTTATTCCTTGAAATTCCATTCACCAGTTTCATTCATTCCGTCGGAAGTCAATCTAAGAGTATGCGGTATGCGTGTGGGATGTGCAAAATATACGATTCCATGTGCATCGCACTTTGGGAATGTTTTTTCTTCACTTTGGGGATGTTTTTTCAGCCTCTGGTTACTGTCTCTCTCCAATAGTCTCCGCCCATTGGACTGTTCATAAGTTTGTCAGGACTATTTCATTTTTTATTTTATAATAACTTAATATGTCATTTTCTCACCATGTTCCCGATTACATATTCATTTCAAAAAGCAGTTTATTCAAATTTTATTAACCAAACACCTAATGTTCATCGGGATGGATTGAATAGTTCGGATCGGAAACTGGGGACGTTGATGGGTAAATAATTTTTTACCTATTGCAACTTGGAAACAAATGTATTTTCAGTGCCCATTCTCGAGTATTCTCAAGCACACATCCCTCAACCAATGGAACTACAACAACCAGCCTTACTCCTCTGATTATTTCTATTCATATAGGTGAAAACATTAAATATCAAATCTAAGTGTAAAAAGATGTTATAATGATCACTCTATAATTGTAGTTGTCAGTTCCTCCGTCTGGAAACGTAACGAGCGGGAAAGATGTCGTGTTAAAAATGTTAACGATGTATATGAGAAACTTCGAAGACATCTTTCAGTGCATTTTGTGTAAGTCAATCTATCTTTACTATTAACAATCTTTACTATTAACAATCACCAAATTCTGTGTGTGAGTGAGTGTGTCCGTTTCTTCCCGGTTCGTCGACCCTAGCGTAGTCCTGAATGAACCAAATTTTCCCAACTTTTCACAGATAACCCGAAATAGCAGCTAGATGATGCCCGAATATTTAATCTTTCGAAATTTTGTGTCTGACGTCTTCTAGAGAGAAAGAAAATAAAAGGAAAAAAAGAAAGAAACAGAATGCGAGGGAAAATGATAGCGCCCTTTCTGATCAATCGATTTTTCAGAATTCCGAATAACTTTTAAAATTTCCGAACTTAATTTCACATCTTTCAAATTTCGGAATATATAAATTTCTGAGATCTTATTCACCGAATTTGCCAAAAAATTTCAAAGTTTCAGATTTTCCAACATTTCAGGTTTCCAGTTTTCGGAATGTCTAAATTTTCGAAATTTAGAGTTTTCGAATTCTGAAATGTACATTTCCGATTTTCCGAAGTTCCAAAAACTTTTCGACGAGACTGTGTTTCGAAAAGTTGAATTTCTGAATTTCTAATTTTTCAGGTTCTCAAATTCTCGATTTTAAACTTTTTCGAAATTCTATAAATTTTGCAAACAGGGCCGTTTCAGGCCAGCCCGGCATTTAGTAAGTATGCAAAAATCTGAATTTTCCAATTCCTTAAAATTTGATATACCAAAATTTGGGTATTTGACACATACAGATTGAAACACTTTTCTAGATTTCAAAATTAATGTTTTCCTATATCTGATTTTTAAAAATTTAATAATCTCTGAACTTGCGAGTGTCTTACTTTTTCAGTTTCCGGATTTTCTTACTTTCGACTTTCCGAATTCTAGGAATTCTAAATAACCAAAATATCGAATTTCGAAATTTCCTAACAGACCATGAAAAAATAGTCCCTGGAAAAAGGACAAAGCCTGTCTATAAGACAACGGGTACTGTAAGCGGGAGCTAGGAGGCTCAGCCCGGAGGGCCGCAAACCGATGTTTTTCAAAATTCGAAAATTTCGAAATTCAGAATTTTCGGAGAACAGAAAGTTTAGTAAACCTGACATTTAGTTATCCAAAATTTGAAACTTCAGGAAACCGGGAGTTCACATATTCCGGATTTCAGAACATTAAAAATCTTTTTTCGATAGTTTGGAAATTTTGAAAATTGATAGTATGCAAAACTTTCACAAATTTTGGTGAATTCGGAAACTCAAAAATTTTTAAATTAGAAATTCAATTGTAAGATACAGAAAGCGGAAGCCAGGAGGTTGAGCCCCCGACAGGAGGCGTAAACCGACTGGTTATGTTAAAACACAATATTTTTGTTCAATTTCACACATATTGACCCATCCGAAGAACTAATCATTTATTTCCAGCAAAAAAACGGATCTCAACATTGCTCCTGGCGATACGATGCATTCGGCATCTGGACAATCTACTGAAAAATCACATACATTAATACGATTGTAAAA